CATCTGAGGGGCTGGGCCATGGTTTCGTGCAGATTTGAGCCACTGCCCTGACAGACGGTTCCTCTCCCCAGACCTCTTACAAGGGGGAATGGCATTTCACTTGCCTGTCTTTAAAAACGACAGGGGTTATTACTACTAAACGTAGTCAGCGTAAGTGCTTTCCAATGAGGCACGTCCAGCTTCCTGGTGTTTAGTATGCATGCTGACAACCGTCACCTCCGCTTCTGAATGGTCGGAAATTGGGCATCTGTCTCTTTAAATAAGAAACTACTTTCACTCGTCAGTCCTCATGTTTCAGGAATCAAATTTATTCTCTAGTTCTTTCTGTTGAGAGAGTTTCTGCCCTTCTGCCGCAGGGACATGTTTGCACAGTTCTCTGGGGACTTTTTAAAAGCCCTGCTTAACGTGCTAGTGAATTCTGACTGCTGACTAGAGACAGGAAGTGGGTCTCTGATGAGGGACGAAAGTGAAAGAAAAGTTACTGGAGGCGGTTCCATCCCCACCCTTTCCTTCCTGCTCTGTTTCATGGTTTCCCTCGCCCCTCTCTGGTTGTGTGGAATGTGATCGTGGGAAATTAGGAGATTGGGGGCCTTGGCGTCGGGCCTGGTGACTATGATCTGCTGGGACAGGCGGAGCAGGTGAGTGCCGCTGCTGAGGGGCTTCTGGACACCGCGTTGCTGGGACTGGCCGAGTGAGGACGCCTCTGGGTCCCGCCAGGATCTCCACGTGTGTTTCTCTCTGAGCTACAGCCTCCGGCCTTGCTCCTTCTCAGCTCCGGCAATCTCCAGTTCCTCTGCTACGTTTCTCAGCCTCCTCAGACCTCAGCGGCCTCAAGCATAGACAGTGTCTCCCTCCTGCCGGATCAGCTTGGAGATTCCACAAGACTTTATGTGTTGTTTCCACTCTGTTTGGTGCTGGGGCAGAGGGCTAAGTGAATCCTGCTGTCACATCCCAATGGCCTGAGTCCGTGGTCTCGAAGGCCCACTGTCCCTATTTCCCCCTGCCCTATTCTAGGTTCTTTCTTGATCCCGGCTTCCTACCCTCGGAGGTTCCCAAAAGACAGCTCTTGAAATCTTTTGATCCGCATCCCTGAATGGATCTGTGTCTTTGCAAAACGTGTCGTTGCTTTATATGTGGGCACTATTTTTTAACTATGTGACCGGGAGCAAGTACTTTCTCCGTGCTTCTGCTCATTAAATGGGGTTAATATTAGTACGACATCATAGGTGATTGTGGGCATTGCAAGGTGATAAGAGGTATTAACTGCTTGCGACTGGCTGGCTAAGTACCCAACAAGTGTTAGCAATTATTATGACAAATGTATTACTTGTACTATTTTACTCATTGTTTCCTTTTTAAAAAGTAAGCACTTTGTGTAGTTTACATTCTGTGTATTTCGCCAGGTCCCACTTCCTAACCACTACACAGTATTGAGAGATGGACAGCTTCTCCAGTTCTCTGTAAGGACTTGCCCTCTGACCCTTGACCTGATCCTACTTGCAAATCCTTGCCAATCCCATAGGGGTGAAGTGGGTATCTCCTTGCTTTCTTCTGCATTTCCCAGCTTACGACGAGTTTGAGCATATTAAACTCAAACTCCACTGCGGGGAAGGAAAAAAAGGAAGTTTCAAGGAAAGAGGTGGTGGTTTATTTGTTTGTTTTGTTTCTACTTTTAACATCAGAGAACATCTCAACTGCCTGACAGCAAAAAGGCCGTGCTAATGTGTGTTTTGTTCACTGTTACATCTCCCAGACTCCAACCATGATGAGGGCCCGAGGATTTGCCACTTGGGTAAGGTTGGCTGGGTTGATTCCAGGGTTTCCTAAGCCACTGAGGGTGGGATCTGGTGGCCTAGGGGCCCATGGAGGTGACTCTTGTATTTGAGTGTCGATGGGAAAACCACGAGACTTGGCTGTGGGAGTTAGCAGACCCTCTGTGAGCTGTGGTGAGGGTCCCCACAGTTTCCAGATCTCAACATCTCTCAGAAGTGTTCAGTCAATAGTTATTGAATGAAAACATCAAATTTATATTTTTCATGTTTTTAAATATATTTATATTGATTTCAGAGAGGGGAGAGGGAGAGAGACAGAAACATCAACGATGAGAGAGAATCATTGATTGGCTGCCTCCTGCACACTGAGGATGGAGCCCACAACCCAGGCATATGCCCTGACTGGGATTGAACCCTGATCTTCTAGGCAAAACATAAAATTTAGGATAAACCTAGACTATTGGTAAATTCTGGAAGTAAAAAGAAAGCAATCTTAGTCATCATTTAGTCCAGCTTTCTAATTTTGGAATACGGTAATGAAACTCGCCCCTAAAACACCCAAGCTTACATAGCTAAAACTAACAATTTCTTTTTTTAATTATTGTTTTATTGCTTAAAGTGTTATAAAGAGTATTACATATGTCTCCTTTTTTCCCCCGCCCTTGACAATCCCCTGGCCTCCCCTACCCCCCAGTGTCTTGTGTCCATTGGTTATGCTTATATGCATGCATACAAGTCCTTTGGTTGATCTCTTACCGCCCCTCTTCCTGCTCCCCAAACCTCCCC